TTTCGCTCATTGCTGAGACAAAATACCTGACACCCAGAATTAAAGAAGGAAAATTTTATTTAGCTCACAGTTTATGCAGGTTTCAAGCCATACTTGGCTGGCTCCAAGGCGGGATGGCATGGCACGAGGCAACAGTTCAAGGTGGCAGATGACAGCAAAAGCAGCAAGAGCAAAAGGAGGAGGGGAAAACAAGCCTCTTTCCCCCCCTAATGTTGTACACAGGCTCTCTGGCCTCCTCTTGCACAGGCTCAGGATGTTTACAAAATCAGAGCCCTGAACCCCTGCTGAGTTACTCTTTTTAACCTTCTACACTTCTCAAGTTGACAGAATGTAACAACAATACCAGCCGCAGAGGTTCAGGGTTACACCCATACCCTGCAGCCACAGTGTTGCTGGGTGAAATAAATGTGTTTTCAACTTAGAATGCTTTCAGTTTATTATGGGTTTATCAGGATGTAACCTCACCATCTATGAAGGACCTTCTGTAACAGCTACAGTGAGACACAGACCTAACAAAAGGTGTGTGTGCGCGTTACACCTGTAATCCCAGCATGCTGGGAAACTGAGGCAGGTGATCACAAGTTCAAGCCCAGGCTGGGTATTTAATAATTTAGTGAGACCCTGTTTCAGAATAAAAAGGGGATGAAGATGTAACTCACTACAAAGTCCTGAGTTAAATCCCCAGTTTCATAAAAATGGGGATGAGGTGGGTGTTAATCAGCTTTCCACTACTATAACAAATACTAGAGAAAATAAACTTATAAAGAGGAAAGATTTAGGTCTGGGGAGATAGCTCGGCAGCCTAAGCACCTGCCTGGCAAGCACAAGGTCCCAAATTTGATCCCTGGTACTGCATGCCATGCTGAGCAGGTCACAGAAACCAGGTGTGGTAGTGCATGCCTGTAATCCCAGCACTGGGGTGGGTGAGAAAGGAGGATCACTACAAACAAGTCCAAGCTGTGTAGGGAGACCCTGTACAAAATGAATGAATACATAAAGATTTAAAAAAAGAGAAGAGGAAGGTTTGTTTGGGCTCCCAGTTTTGGAGGTTCCAGTCTGACCAATGGACCCCACTGCCTCTCTGCCTGCAGCAAAGCCACAGCATGGGAGGAACATGTAGTGAAACCATTCCCCTGGCAGCGAGGAAAGGAGACCCTGCAAACCCCATGACCCAAGACTTTCACTAGGCTCCCCATCTTCCTTAAAGGGGCATTCCAAGGCCAGGGAGGTGGCTCAGTGGAATAAGTGCTTCCCTGGCAAGCACAAGGACCTGAGTTCAATCCCTGGTTCTGCCCAAATAAATAAAAAGAAAAAAACAAAGGGTGCATTCTATATCCAAACCATCACATCGTATGTGAAGAAAAGAAATGGTTAAGACACAAGTATGTTGTGAAAAAGAGCCAGCTGGGAAGGAAACTTTGAAGTCCAGAGAGAGAGAATGAGTACTTCCAGGAGGACTGGGAACAACGAGAGGAGACAGGATCCAGGTGGAAGGTGGAGGATGCAGTCAGTGTGGTGGCATCTTCTCAAAGAGCAAGGGTCGGGTGATGGTGTCCCTCCAGAACCAGTGGAGAGATGCAGAAATGGGAAGCTGAGTGGGCTCCACGTTCTCCTCACTGGCCAAACCAAGCATCGAAGAGACAGGTTAGACTGCTATTGTAGAAAACAAGGTGGCAAAGCATGCAGAGTGGATCTAAAGGGAAGCTATCCAGCACACACGACACAGGAGATGCAGATGTACAAAGGGTGATCAAACTATATGGTGAGTGTTTAAATTTTTTTAAAATGCGTTATACTGAAACACAGATTACCATAATCCCCTTGAAAAGTCTGCCTTTCACATTAAACACACTTTTTCCATTGTTCATGGTACTTTCTGAAGCAGTTCTGGAAGTCCAGAGTGTCTTTATGAGGCGTGACCAGTCCAGTGAGTAATGTGGCTGAATACCATCCAATGGAAAGGAAAACTAGTGAAAACATAGGATAGTGAGTCCCACATCCATTTTATTCACCAGCTCAGGCCAGGGATATAGCTCAGCGGTTTAGCACCTCCCTGGCAAGGGAAAGAAAGAAAAGCTAGGCTGCCCCCCGCCCCCGTGCACTGAGACAGCAATTGAGACTGGGCATGGTGGCGCACCTGTAATCTCAGCTCTTGGGAGGCTATAAACAGGTGAATCACTACGAGGCCAATCTAGTAGTGAGACCCTGAACACCCTGTAGGCCCTTCCCTAAAAAGAAGGAAGGAAGGAAGGAAGGAAGGAAGGAAGGAAGGAAGGAAGGAAAAGGGAAGGAAAGAAGGAAAGAAGGA